GCATTGGGCGCAGTGGGTGCATTGGGCGCAGTGGGTGCATTGCTTGCAATGGTTGCAGTGGTTGCAATGGGTGCATTGGGCGCAGTGGGTGCATTGGGCGCAGTGGGTGCATTGCTTGCAATGGTTGCAGTGGTTGCAGTATGTGCATTGGGCGCAGTGGGTGCATTGGGCGCAGTGGGTGCATTGCTTGCAATGGTTGCAATGGTTGCAGTGGTTGCAGTAGGTGCATTGGGCGCAGTGGGTGCATTGGGCGCAGTGGGTGCATTGCTTGCAATGGTTGCAATGGTTGCAGTGGTTGCAGTAGGTGCATTGGGCGCAGTGGGTGCATTGCTTGCAATGGTTGCAGTGGTTGCAGTGGTTGCAGTAGGTGCATTGGGCGCAGTGGGTGCATTGCTTATTGCTTGCAATGGTTGCAGTGGTTGCAGTAGGTGCATTGGGCGCATTGGGCGCAGTGGGTGCATTGCTTGCAATGGTTGCAGTGGTTGCAGTAGGTGCATTGGGCGCAGTGGGTGCATTGCTTGCAATGGTTGCAGTGGTTGCAGTGGTTGCAATGGGTGCAGTGGGCGCAGTGGGTGCATTGGGCGCAGTGGGTGCATTGCTTGCAATGGTTGCAGTGGTTGCAGTGGTTGCAGTATGTGCATTGGGCGCAGTGGGTGCATTGGGCGCAGTGGGTGCATTGCTTGCAATGGTTGCAATGGTTGCAGTGGTTGCAGTAGGTGCATTGGGCGCAGTGGGTGCATTGGTTGCAATGGTTGCAGTGGTTGCAATGGGTGCAGTGGTTGCAGTAGGTGCATTGGGTGCAATTACATGTCCTACATGGGTTAAATTAACTATGGATTATTATTTTTTTTAGAAAATATGTATGACCACCAAATTGTGAAGAACATGTACAGTCCACAATATGAGCAGGAAAATATATCTACAACTAATTTCAGCTATTATTTCTAATGCAAATTGCTTCAGACCCAATCAAATGTTGTATAACCTTATTTGCATTGCGACTTTGCGAGTTGTTGCTAAAAATTGACCCGTGATGGATCTACATGAATCACAGTTAGTCAAAGTAACTGTAAATTCAGGGCCGTACACAACGGTGGAGGGGGGGGGAGGCAAGGGGGGCAACTGCCCCCCCCCCAGAGAAAACTATATTTACGATTTTTAAAGTGTCATTCATTATTCTTTGGATATTTGGGACTTTTTTGGCATATAGCCCTTACTGCCCCCCCCCCCTGGTGAAGAAATCCTGCGTACGGCCCTGTGAAACAAACATTATTTAACAATTATTCGCCGAAGGCGAGGTGATTATCGGTGAATAAAAACCGAGACGAAGTCGAGGTTTTTATTCACGATAATCACCGAGCCTGAGGTGAATAATTGTTTTAGTATAATTTCATAGGTGATTATTTAGAAAAAAAATAAAAAATAGACATTTCTTCGTCATTTAATTGACAAAATGGCTTCGGCCGCCATTTTGAAAATCGCTTAGGTGATTATCGCGTAATAATCACCTCAACGGCAACCAATCAGCGTGGAGAATTTTCAATAATCACCTATGTAATTATACTAAACTGTATTTAATTGTTCCAAGTTATATCTTATAGAACCGGTAGTCTCATATTGCATGAAACGTTTGTAAATAGTTTTTGGCTTTTATAAATATTTTGTAATTTTAATATTTTGAGCAATACTGATTCATTGCTGGCTCCCTGCATTGTTCATTGGCGTCCATTTCATAAACGAAATCGTACTCGGAATAACAATAATCTCATTAAAACTATCCCAATAAGAATCTGCATAACACAGGTGTTAACGCCCTGTCACAAAATAATCCATCTCATGTTCCCAAGGTGATGGTGACTAATGTGAGGTCCTTAGTTCCAAAACTAGACGAAGTACAAGAATTCCTAATTCGGAATGACATTAATTTTGCGTTTATTACCGAGACATGGTTAAAAGAGTCAATTGCAGAAAGCATAATTAACATTCCTGGTTACACTGTATTTCGCAGAGATAGGAAAAATGATGATCATTGTGGTGTATGTGCTTATATTCGAACTGAAAAATGTAATTACAGACAAATGGACGAATTAAATTATTATTATTATTATTATATTATTATTATTATTATTATTATTAATGGTTTATTTGCATATTATCGCATTGAAAATGAATTACAATATGCTTACATGGAAATATACTAAAATTTACAAAAATGCTAAAATATGAATTACTATATCTAATATAAATGTTAAAACCTAATATACAAGTTAAGACCATAAAGGCCTATACGTCAACTTGACTATAGCACATTGCCGGGATAAAACTGTTCTTAAACCTCTCAGTTCTACATTTGGGAAGCGATAATTGATTATTATTTCTCAAACTCCGTCCATGGACGTTTCCGCGAGTTGACGGCAACAAGTGGTACAGTTTCGAGCAAGGCTTAGCAATCTTTTGTAAGGTATTCTGACATATTGACTGCCTTCTATCATCAAGGCGAGAACAACGACTGATAGATAGGGCTTCCGCATAATCAGTGAAAGGGTACAGAATTCGCAGAGCACGTTTCTGCACCCGTTCAATTTTGTTGGAGAGATACTGAGGTAGACTGGTATGCCAGACTGCACAAGCATATTCCAAAACAGATCTGATTAAGGCGTTATAGATTGAGAGCAAGTCAGCGGATGGAATTCCAGATCGACGCAACACCCGAAGGATGTAAAGGCGTTTCGACGCTTTTTTTACGATAATTGCAACGTTATCATTCCATTTAAGGTGACTATTAATAGTCAAACCCAAAATCTTGAAAGATGTAACCAGTTCCAATTCTTGATCATTAATGTGTAATGGAGTATAGTTGTCATTTTGTCGTAAAAAGCTGACAACCATTTCCTTGCATTTTAACCCATTCAGTTTCATATCATTCTCACATGCCCATTGTTGGAGTTCATTGAGTTCAGTTTGTAATCGCGATTCCTCAGTTTCTTTTATAACCTCAGAAATCGTTACATCGTCAACGTATTTCCAATGAGAGGAGTTTGTGGACTTCATTTTCAGATCATTAATCATAACTAAAAACAAGATAGGGCCAAGTTTGGTTCCTTGAGGGACACCGCCATTTACATAAGCCCACTCCGAGCGAGACTCATTAATCTTCACCGCCTGACGACGATTTGAAAGAAAATCACATATCCATGGGATCAAACATCTTCTTACTCCAAGGGCTATGAGTTTCGCAATCAAAATGTTATGGTTGATTCTGTCAAAAGCTTTGGAGAAATCCAAAAAACAAATACGTAGATACCGTTTTGGGCTATCCAGTGCCTGCAACCAGTTGTTAATCATGTCAATAAGGGAGAATGTTGTAGAAGATCCCCTTAAGCTACCAAAC